GTCAGGCTTGATTTTTAGTAATCTTTTCCTGTTAAATCAATAAATCAAATCAAATCAAATCAATGTGTTTTTCTGCACCATCAGCAAAATATCTCATGAACCACTGGACAGACATTATTGAAACTGTCAGTGTTTGATCATTTGATGTACATCTACAGCTGATAACTTAAGTGTCAACCCAATTGAAGTTGACTGCCACAGCTAATCAGTGTTACCCAACACAAAACTGGCTGTAACAGTCAATTTTACAGATATCAAGCTAAAACTTGGTGTAGTTGTAGCCAAGAAATTAAGGCTTTAACTCTTACAGTCACCACTGCCTGCATGGTAACAAGTATCTTCTGAACCCAATAAAAGTTAGCAATGCACTCAGTCAAGTTTACAGATGTCAAAGTAAATTTGATGTGGTAGAACTTAAGCAAATAGTCCTTCCCAACATGTACTCTGATGTGCTAACAAATCTCACAAAATCTCCTAATATTAAACATGATATCGTTTGCAATGTTTGACCAAAACGGCCTCATCATAAGATAGTTTTTGCTTAAAACTCTGCCCAAGCAGACAATATTCATTCATTCAAAAAAATGTTTTAATGGAGATAATAAAAGATCCAAGGGTTTTTGCTTGTGTCTCACATGTATTAAATAAAATATTGCAGAAACACAGCATCTCTTGTTCTCACCGGGAATGTTTATTATTGGAAGCGTTCATTGCTGAAGAAATGGTTGCTATAAAAACTATCATCAGTATGGTTTTGGAATATCTCCAGACACCAAAAGAGAAAGTGAGAAGATAAATTCTCCAATTTAAAGAGGGCCAACTGTTTGGGATGCTGCACATTTCCTTGCACACATTTCAAGATGGAGCATGATTGGGAGAATTTCCAGCAGAAAAGGAACACCAGCTTGTTTTATGCAGAAGCGTTGTTTGAAACCAGATCCTGCTTTATCTGCCYATTTAAGCGCTTGCATTGTCATCTATTTGAAATGAAAACCTAAAAAAAAGTTGTATTTAAGCTATTTTTACATGCCTTTTGTTCTACAGGTCAACACAAAAGCAGGCAGACACATTGAAAGTAAACAGATTTTGATTTAAGCCTGAAAGTTTTAGCTCTGAGATAGAAAGAGGACATCTGGTACTACCTGTCAGACTGTTTACTGCTTTCAGCTGGGATGGATTTGCATCAGGTGGAAATATCTTCCCTGCCAGCATTTTGCTGGTTGCAGTTATTTGGGGTGACTTCATGTCAAACTTTCTAGACTAAGCATCTGCCAGCTCCAGCTCAAACCTTAATTTGCTTCCTTGCAACATATGATATTTACCAAGCAACACTGAATAACACAATTCAGGTTCATCTCACATTAACGCACTAACACTATTCTGGTCTTGTTAGATTCCAAGGACATCTGCTGTTCACACAGCATCAGATGTTTCAGGCAGCTTTGCCGTTTCTTTTGAAACAAGATTTCAATGCTATATTTACATTCAGAGGACAATTTTTATATGAGGAGCCGATGATTACCCGAAAGCAGCTGTTGTGTATTAAGTGCACAAAATGATTATTGTAAAGGTTTGTTATGTGAGCAGTCAAAGAACATCTCACGCTTCGGAGAATATGACTTTGATGTTTTTATCTGCTATTTATTGCTTTGAAAAATCTCCATTTTTTGAACTGTCTTGCAAAGAACAATCGTTTTCTTTTAAATGCATTTCTGGGGTCGCTAAATAATGTATACAGCTGAAAAGCACATAAAATCAGCTTTTGTAGCTGCAGATTACACACAAGCTTTATGGCAGCTACTGAAATTTAGCTGAAACGAGAGTTGTAGAGCATGTGGTGAGGAACACCATTATGTTGGCTCCTTCCTGCTGACAAACAGGGAGTGACTGTACTGCCTGTGGCATCAACCCTTCAGATTCTCAGTCTACAGTCAACTTGGCCAATTTTACAGATAAGCAGACGTTCAATAAAGATATGAAGACTTCTTTATAAATCTATTTTCAGTCTCGCTATCTGTATTACCCTGCAGATTCTGCTATTGGCTGATGCCCACACAGATATTAGGCTTTGCACAATTGCTTATTTATAGGAGCTTTCATCTTATGTCTGGAAGCTTTAACCTTCCCGTGTGGCTTTTCTTTGAAGTCTTTTAGCAATAATACGATGGAGGAGAGCTCAGGTGTGGCTTTCTTTTGAATTATCCCACATTCATTCTGCTGAGCTTGCATAGCTGCTTTGTCTCGAACATTAACACACACACGCCGAAGCCCTAAATTATAGAGACATTCCCCTCAGTCTGTGTTCACTATCTCATAGAAGTTATCTCCCTCACAACGCTCTCTGTCCCTCTCTCTGGTAATAGATTCATGCAGCTTGGTGACGTAACCTCTCCATGTACCCCAGGCACATTCAGGAAAGGCTAGCATTACTCACTGTGACAACAGGATCAACTCGTCTTTGCAAAGAGCCATAGTGCAAAGATAGAGGTGGCGGCTGCCCCCTTTGTGCCATTCGTATCACATCAGTGCATGCAAACTAATCTTTTACAGGTTACAAATTGTTTTGAGGATACTTTTCAGTATACAAAAGCACATCTTCATGTAGCTGAGAGGGAGAAAGGGCAACGTGTTTGCTGAATCTTTTTGGCAGATTGGGTATCCTGCTAAAAGTGCTCAAGGACAACAGAGATTAAATGGAGCTTTAACAGAGCATCCTTTGTGAACAAAAATAAAACAGGAGAAAGGCTTTACCTTTGTGAGTGAGTGTCCATTTACTTCTGAATGAAACAAACCAAAGAAAATCTTTATGTTTTTCAAGCTGAAGACAGAGAAAGTGTGCAGTCACTCCGTTGGACTATTTTGCCAAACAATGAAATTAATTTGTTCACAACCTTATGTCCCAAAACATTCAGACTTTTTGTTTTCATAGCCCATCATGCCTTTAGTTGCACATTTATGTGATAATTCAGGGATTAGCAACGCAGATCACATCTTTCCAGAAYTTAGCATGCATGCGTGCTGCTGCTGCCGCACCGTCAGAACACACAAACACACTGAGAAAATTTGTCATTGCACCAGTTACTTGGAGGTAAGAGGAAATAAATATCCCCTCCTGCTGAAACAGACCTAGATGACAAATAGGCCAAGGCAGCCATCAGCAAAGAATCGATTTCCCTCCACATTCATCAGTGGTTCCTCTAAGCTGTGACTGTATATATGAGACGGTGCTTTTTTCAAGTTTAGATGTCCAGATTTTTCTTTTTATAGTGCTTTGCATTATAGCTTCGTTTTGGCTTTTTTAAAGGGGTGGCCGTGTTTATTTTCATTATGCTGTTGACATTTATAGGCTATTTGAAAATCCCTGCAATATGAGTTAAGCCCTACTTTGGTTTCTTCTTTTACTGTTGAATTTACTAACTTCCGCTAGGATTAACACGCTTTAAACTTGAATGACGAAAAATAGAGCCAAAGCCTGTTTTAATTGAAATCCTCACAGCTCGACCGACCTGATCCAAAATCTGTGATTGTGTTTCAGGCTGAGCAACACCAAGAAGCAGGCAGTGCACACTGTGATGGGCATCTGGATGGTGTCCTTCATCCTGTCCACACTCCCAGCAGTGGGCTGGCACGACACCATCGACCGTTTCTACACCTCCGACTGCAGATTCATTGTGACAGAGATCGGCTTGGGCTTCGGCGTGTGCTTTCTGCTGCTGATYGGTGGCAGTGTGGCCATGGGTGTTATCTGCATCGGCATCGCTCTCTTCCAGACCTTCTCCATCCAGACGGGCCACAAGACTGACAAGAACAAGTTCAATGTTCCCACCATCGTGGTGGAGGATGCACAGGGGAAGCGCAGATCGTCCATCGACGGATCAGAGCCTCTCAAGACGTCGCTGCAGATCACTTATCTGATCAGTGGCATTGTCTTCATCTATGACTTCCTGACTGGCTTTCCCATTCTGGTGAGCTCATTGCCAAAACACACTGTAGATAATCCTGGTTGATGATGGCTTTTAAGATAAAAACAACGTTTTAAATGCTCTGACTCTGAAGTGTTTGAATCTGAAGCTGGACATAAAAATGCAGTTCTTGGAATTCTGAGTTGACTGTGGCAGAGTAGCTTTATGGCYTATATTTATTTATAATAATTGTGCTATTCATCTCTTATGACATAGACTTAATTGCTTTTTTAATTACATTTGTCTAAATGTTTTTATTTAATTTTTTGTCTTTCATAGGAAACAATACACACACAGTTTTGACAGAATTTTGGTTAACTGAAAGAAGGAATTGATCACCAAAAAAAAGATAAAATGTAAGCACAAAATAACTTTGCCATTACGTATTTACTTTAGGCAAATCTGGACTTAAAAAACAACTAAATCTGTAATTTTCTATTATCATGTTTGAGAAACTGATATATCAGATTCAGTGACAATTTACTAATAAGAGATAAATCCTGCCAGTATGTCATTAGGTAGAAGTCCTATATACATAACAGTAGTTTCATTATTTGATATGCGTCATTATTTGGGGGAATTTGTCCATTTATAAGTAATGGCAATACAAAAATAAACAAAAATACAACTATAGCACCTGTGATGGACTTGCAACCTGTCCAGGGTGTACCCCGCCYCTCGCACTGTGACTGCTGGATATGGGCACCAGTGACCCACGCAACCCTGAAAAGGAAGAAGCGTGTACAGAAAATGGATGGATGGATGGACAACTATAGCATCATCAGTAGGCACCAGCCAAAAAGACTTGTATTTAACTATATCTGGTGATTTGTGCCGAACAGGTTTTAGAACCTGAAGCACCTGTCAGACCATGTCTCCCTGCTTCTCCCACCAGCTGTCACGTTTGCACCTAAATGATTGTTTCTTAGTGACTTCGGGGACTGCGTCTTTATTTTCATTATGCAATTTTGTGTAATGAAAAATAAATTGAGTGCGGGAGTGAGGGCTGTTTAACAGCATCACCATTCAGATACAAGTTCCCACACTTAGGTGTCTGTTGAAATCTTTGAGATGGAGCCAAATTAATCCAGCTTGAATTTTTAAAATACAGTCATCTCTGTGACTAGATTGAAACAGTTTTTTGTTTTGCAACATGAAGAACCCTCATGAAGGTCACTAAGTCAGCAACAGGAATAGATGCTTTGGACATTTAGGTTTATTGTTCTAAGTGAAAGACCATTATGTGAAACAAAGTTTGGCAGTGTCAGTTTATATATAAATCATTGCCAAGGATTTAGGGATCATCTGTCCATCTGTTGTTCACCTTCAGGGGAACTAAATATAAACCTAAATAAAATCTATAAGCCTTAAATGATGAAACCAAAGCACTGAGTAGGTTGTTACTGTTTGCTGCTTCTGATATATACTGCTCAAAAAAATAAAGGGAACACTACTGCTCAAAAAAATAAAAGGAACACTTAAACAACGCACGCTAACTCCTGATCTTAATCAATGAAATATTCGCATTGAGTACTTTGTTCTGTACAGAGTTGAATGTGCTTCACAAAAGTTTGATTTACTTGGACTTAGCGTGCGTTGTTTAAGTGTTCCCTTTATTTTTTTGAGCGGTAGGTACGGGTATGTTTATCTGTATATGTATAAATTTATATATGTATATGGGTATGGTTTTCAGCAAGGTTATAGTCATTATAATTATATGGATATGCATTTTTGTTGCTGTGGTTTTGTTATCTTTGTTTTTGTAGGTGTGGATCCAAGATGTCGGGTGTGCTGTCTTGTGTTTTCTCAACATATATTTCACATATCTTCTAATCTCTCTTTCACTCTTTCTCATTACATTTCACTTTTTTCTTTCTCTTTCTTTTTCTCCTATTAAAAAAAGCCACTGATGATGAAGAAGCTAAGATACTAATATTCAGATATTCAGTTCCGCTTTCTACTGAAGTGGCAAAAAAACAACAACTAATAAGTAGATTTTATTTCCAAATACTCAACAATCTCCTGTAAATAAGCAATATAATCCAGTCGCTGTCAGGTTTTCCACTGGATTACCCAAATCTAAAGTCCCTGAGCCGAGCTGTAACAAACCTGCTTCTTCTCTCTCAGACAAACAGCTGACAGTTTAACWGCTGCTTTTCAACAAGGCCTCATCGTGATCACCAAGGGTATCATCACAAGATGTTAGCTTTGTAGGATATATTTATCAGTAATAGTATTTCAGATGAAGTAGACACATATTCTTTTATTTACAACCAACAATGATGAGTGATAAAAGATGTTTTTTGACAGTTTACGACAAAACCACATAGTGTTTTTATACCAGTGCAAAGAACGTTTCCAATCAAAGGTCAGGATTCAAGTGTAGTGACAGGAAAAAAAAAGGTCTGCAAGCTGTTTTTGTGACCTGATTTAATGAGCTATTTAAATGCATGGAAAGCTGCAACACATACAAACATAACATTTTATTGAACTGCTCCGTGTTGCACAGTGATGCTAAGTTATAGCTGTCACAAAAATAACAGTAAGCTGGCATAAGCATGCAGAGTACAAAACCTGTGGTACAACAGAATAAATTAGGCTCATGTCCTGGTTTTAAAGAGAAATGTGTCCTGAAGTTGAGCTCGCTTTTATTAGTTTAACACAGATAATAAAGATACATGTGCACATGACTTATAGAGTCTGAGAACTGAATAGTTTTACATATAAGAACTACGTGAAATGTTCCAACAAATCTCTATTCTGAATCTGGCAAATCGCAAAACTGATGCCAAAAACACCTTTCTAAAATCAAAATATTCTGTGAATCAAATACAGAAATGATTGAATCAGACTGCTACTGCATAGGGACGGGTTTACAATTTAAAAAAATGTATCCATAGACTAAGTTACAGCGCTTGCTTACGGAGCCCGCGAGGGGACATGGGGGATTTTTTTTCTTTTGCGTTCCCATGCAAGACCTTTGTGTTCCCTCGCAATACTTTTGTGTTACCTCGCAATATTGTTTTGCGTTCCCCACACAAAAATTTGATTTGTATATGAGCTGAATTAAATAAGACTTTTATTTTGAAATATCCGGTTACCAAAACAGGATGTCTCACCACAAGTTCGTGAAATTGACATTGATGTTGYGTGGCTACACTGTGTTAAAATATCAGCATATTTTCATGCGTGGCTGTGTGATATATTCATCTGAAGCTGGACTAAAGTAGTAGACTAACTCGCTAATGGTAAACATGTGAGTTTATTAATAAACCGGCAGGCACAACAGTGTTTAAAGACTTTTGCGAGGGAACGCAAAAGGTATTATGATGTAACGCAATACYTTTGCGTGGGAACGCAAAAAGAAAAAAAAATCCCCCATATCCCCTCGTGGGCTCAGTACTTGTTGATGACACATTTTAATTTTTTATTAATATTTGCTCTTATGTTAATATTTCAAAAAGGTTCCTCAAAGAGATAAAGCACATTGTCCATGTCCTTAGGAATTTTCTCAGCTTGTATCCTAAAATAACAGAAAATCAATTGCTCAGTAATTATTAAAACTAATAAATGTCCCTCCACTTTAAAATGAATAAAACACTAAAAATCAATCACGTCTTTACACAATTCATTTTTAAGACTGTATTTGAGGATAGAAATTACACTTGCAGATGTCTCTCTAATTCTTGAGATTCCACAATGTTTATGTAAGCCTTTGAACATGAAGCACTCACAGAAAAATGAAACTGAAGGCAAAGAACCCAGTTTCACTTGTCATGAAATGTGTCCCAATGATTTTACWGACTACTGAACCATGAAATAGGTTGCTTTCTTAATGGCTGACATTGAAGTTTAAAGCCATGTTTGTGTGAGATGGAATATTATCATGTTTATGTTGACACCAGAAAYGAGGTGATGCCCACTAACTGGTCCTTATTACTTATTCAGCACTGAATATTATACAGTTCTAATGTCCTCCGAGACATTTATAAGATTTAATAAATAATAACCTAGAAGTAACCAGCCTAAAAAGCAACCATTTAAGTCCCTATTAGAAWAATATCTGACAGCTGGACTTTGATCTAGGAGTAGGTTTGTCAGCATCTACTGATTCCTCTCAGTGTTTTTAAAATCTTTTTTTAAACATTGCTCAAATGAAGCTAAGTGTAATGCTATAAAGTTAAATCCTCCTGTTGGYTATATTTGGTTCTAATTCTCTGTCCACCCTTCGAAGGTGGTGAGCTTTGCCAGTCTGAAGTTTGACCGCTCCTACAATTGGATGGTGTTGTGTGTGCTGTGGTGCTCTATCGCTCAGTCCATCCTGCTCCCCATGTTCCTCTGGGCCTGCGATCGCTACCGGGCCGACATCCGCATGGTTTGGGAGAAGTGTGTCGCCATCATGTCCAACGACGAGCTGGACGATGGTAAGTCGATGCTGCGATGTAGGTGTCCCCCTTCTGTCCCGCCTCCGTTTTCCCCTCCTCTTCACCTGTTGAATTGATCCTGATTGTCAGTTCTGGAATTTGGTTTGTTAAAACACTTAAACAAAGAAGAAACTCTGCATTAGCCTTCTTACATCAATTTTTCAAATAATTAGTTTAAAATAGAAACAAACATTCTGTTTAGGACTAAACAACCTTTGGAGAAGAATGAGATATTTATGTTCTCGATGACAGAACTTACACACAAAAAATGGCTTTTAATAGTTCTCTAGACTAAATAATAGACATAAATGCAAAGAAGCAAGAAGTGAGTAGAGATGAGCGACATATATACTTTTTTTGTTTTATTCCTGATTTAAATGTCTGGTTTTCGTTTCTGATACAGTATGATCTATCAATTTCTTTATTTCTAATTTATGAATAACCAGTCGATAGTTTTACAAAACTTTAAAAGCATATTTGTGATTGTAACAGTAACCAAATGCAATCTCCTTTTGCTTCAGCCTATTAACTATTTCCATGTACTTCGTTAACAACATTTTTAGTCAGGAAAAACTTCCTGCAATTGCATTTTTGACCTTGTAAAAGAATGTTTATTATCCTGTTAACACATCATGATTTAGGCTTTTTGTACACATTTCTTAAACTCTGTTATTCTGGCTTTCCCAGTAGACATTTTTCTTTAGCTTTTGGAGGGTCTGAAATCACTGGTCAAATGTTATCATGTGACCTATCAAGTGACCTTTGCTGTCAGAGGATTAAACTGAAGAAACTAGTGTCTGTGTGACTTATCTGTAAACAAAAATAGACCATGTGTATTTTTGTACATGGTGTGTTCTGTCTAAAATGCTTTGCTTTACATGCTGTGAGACATGGGAGGACAGTAAAACGAAAGGTTGCCCATTTATTTATCAGACTTTAGTGCAGCTGGATTAAAGGCTGTAAGAGGTAAAAACATTTTCATGTCATTATGATGGTCATATTTCCCTCAAGTCAGAAAACGATGCATGCAAGATTTTGTCTTGGATGCAGAACTGAAACAGAAAGAAATTAAAATCTTTTTATGTGTTTCTTTTTCTTTTGCAGTTTTCTCCTTATTTATGCAGAATTGACCCATCTACTCTTTATAAAAGCAGTACTTAATAAACAACACTTATTTAATTGTGATGAAAAGGAAGGTATGTTTTATCACAAACACAAATACATAGTATATCTGGCAGGCTGAAAATGAAGCATTTCACCAGAGAATCACAGACACTTCGACAAAATCTGGTCCTATAATTAGGTCACATGATAATTATGTAGGAGGTAGACTTGTGAACATGGGTCCATGATCTCTACACTTCTTGCAAACTGATGACAGCGTTATCATCTAATTTCTTTTTCTGCTGTTGGGACTGTTTCAATTCAACCCATTCTGAATCCCTTCTTTCCTGTTTCTAACCCCACAAACGTTTTTGATCCCCCCCAACCCCGCGCTTTTTGGCGCCGTTCCTCAGAACTAATTATTGTCCGACAGGAAACAACACAAGGCAGTAATGATAATTAACGCTGCCAATTCTCTGTTTTTATTTTCCAGAGCGCTTGCCATGTATAACTCTTCACAGCTGTGTGTATAAGAATGGTTTTCTGTTGTTTTGAAGCCACTGATTTGCATGCAAAGCTGCCTGTGCAAGAAGCTAATTTCATCTTCCATCCATTTTGGCAAGCATTTTCCTCAGAATCAACATTTTACCCCCATTTTCAATTGATCTGTAATGAGCATAAATGCGTTAATTGGGACATTTATGATTTAAAAAAAGTTTATTCAGAATATAAGCCCTGAGATCCTTCTGAAACAAATTTGTTTCTAAATTTATTGATGGCAAATAACTTCTTCTCCACATTGTGGTCATTTCTGTTGCATTTTTTTAAACATATTTTTTCAGTGCTGAGCATAGGAGAAGTAAACAAATCAGGGAACGATTGAACCTGTTTCTCTTATCTATTCGTCTGTTTGTCTGTCTGTCTTGTGTCTGGAGTTCGTTGCTCTTTAATCCTGACGCTCGTGCTTTTCTGCACTTTGCAGAAAACAGCCAAGATGGAGGAATTCATGCTGACTTAATATATGACAGACCATTTGACTATAGCTCGGCGCCTGAAATCGTGACCATAGACCGTAATGCCAAGTATGAGTTCTCAACCTTAGAAAGGGGGGTTCTGCAAGGGTATCCATTGAGGGAACATCAGGAAGATAAAATGCAGTATTTGCAGGTATATTATTTTTTTTATTTTCCTCATTTCTTTTATTTTATCAGTTGAATTAATTTTATCTCATCGCTAATATGCATGATGAACTGGCCTTGTTTGCCTATRAAGCATCTGGACTGAATTTTCTGAAATTAATGAAACATTTTATGATACTACCTCTCTGATTTGCCACATACCTTTTTTATTTTTTGGTCGTTTTTTTATGTGAACCAAAAATGCTCTCAGGCTGACTAATATTTGGTAAATATGACCATCAGCAGTCCCATCAACACATTAAATGTGCTTCATTTATCAAGTAGTGTGTCCTAGTCATGTTAGTCAACAGTTATTGTGTAAGAGGGTAAGAGTGGAGTAACTGACTTACCTTCTACATTTCAGGAATTCCTCAAGGCTTCAGGAAAGCTATGAAAATATCTCCTTATGTCCTGCCTAAAGCATTGTGCCATTGGATCCAGCATCCATCTCAGTCAGATGCAGAGCTGTGAAATGCTCATTTTCTGTCTGCATTTACAACAAAGCTTGAACTGTCACACAGCCTTCTGGGGCAATCCACAGAATCTTGATTTCTCTTTTGATTCTGATACTGACTTGATTTTGTAAACTAAAAATTCTCACAAAATCTGATAAATTTTTACCTTAAAATACTAATTAGTTTAAGTAGATGTTTAAGTAGACTTGCTAGAATTGGCCTAGAAGACTGTTGCAAGGATATATAACTGCAAAACCTGCTAATCCCAACCATGCATTTAGCAACTCCTTACAAAGCATCTTACAGTAATACTGTGTCATCTTTGTATTTAAGGCTTTTGTGCGAGCCTCACTTTGCGTATAACTTCACTTGAAAACAAATCATTTTAGATTTTGGCTTTGTGCCTCAGATTTATAGCAATAAACTCAAGCATTTCAAACACCAAAGCACCTTTAGAGATTTATTTTGACTGTAATAAAGAAGTTCTCAAACAGAGATGTATACAGTAGCCATCACTCCATTTGACCAAGTTCATTCATTGTCTTTGTGTTCACGTCTCAGTAGGTTGTAGTGAAGTAAAATCCAGCTGTGTTACTTCTTGTTGTAGGTGTGTGGATGTAAAATAAATTTTGTTTTATTTCAACTGCAGATCAACTGAATGAACTTTGATTCAGTCGGCTTTTCTTTCTGCTGTTCCTGAAAGCGATAAACAAACACCAGTCAGATTGTTTACGATTGTTAATTGTCTGGTTGGTGAATAAAGCCTCGTTTTTTGGCTTTATTGGCTCTTTTTGTTCTTCATTTCCAAGTTTGTCCTGCATTTTCAGTCATTCAAAAGCTTGTGCTGCCCTCTGCTGCTCAGCTCTCCCACCTTACAATTTAATGCTACTGTATTCGTCTGCTGTTTAATGTCTCTGCATTTACTGAAAGACGCCACCAGGGGGCAGGCTGATATCAGTCTTGAGGCTCTTGACGTCACCCTGACAAATCCTCAGTCTTTGCATAGTTGTCAAAGCATAATGTGAGTATAACAAATAGGCAATACCAATCTTTATAGTTTTAAAGTTAAGATAAGGAGATAAGTATAAGATAATGTGTCCTGAGGGATTAATTAAACACCAAAAGTGTTTAATTGCAGTTAAAATTGTAGGAAGACTAATAATTCTTACATGTAGGATTTTATTTTAATTAGGGTAATTAAAACAAAAATGTCTCTGAATAAAAATATATATCTTCCAATCATAAATTAGTCACAATTTCAACAAAATAGTCTAAAACATTCAACAAAACAGAAAGTGGAATAGATTTCTTACATGATTCTGAAGAGTCCTACATGTATTAATCTTTACAGCTGGTAATTAAGCTAAATTAATTACCAGGAGCATGTTAGTCAGCATAACATTTACCTATTTATCATGCGGTGCAAWGTTTTTCTGTAATTAAACTTGTGTAAAAGTTCTTTGTAACCTGAAGTCTTGGTTCTGTGTCTTTCCTCCAGGTGCCCCCTACAAGAAGATACTCCCACGACGAAACAGACATGTGGACCAGCGACCGGATCCCCTCATACCTGCAGCGATGGGGCTCCACCGAGGACGTGATAGTGAGTGCCCATTACAGCTCCACCTTGCCGCGCCGCGAGAGGCGCAGGAGCAGCCTGGTCTCCTACCACGAGGAGAGCCACTCTCACCATCACCCTCACCGCAAGCGGCGGCGATCTGAGGACAGCATGCACCCGCTCAGGCACCTGCCCCGCGTGGTCTGCGGCGGGGAGCGCTACGAGGACGAACTGCTGTGTTTCAGCCGGGACGAGGTCATCAACTTTATAGACGAGACGCCGGTGCCGAGCCCTAGGAAGAGCCCACGGCGCGTATCCGCCATATCCCTCCTCCCCAATGTGTACGAACAGCACGCGGCCACGCTTCCTCACTTCCCACTCACGGACTTCGAGCGCGAGCCTCAGGCTCTCCGGCGATCCTCAGAACACAGAAGGAGCAGCAGCAGCAGGGGCGGCTCGCCCGAAGGTTCACCTAAACCGGACAGATCTCCCGGAAAAACGGGCCACGTGGCTTGTGGCTCCGGGAAAGGCTGCAGAGAACGCCTGCGAGATGGGAAGCAGCTCGGCGAGATGGGCTCACCTGGGTGCAGTCAGCAGGCTACAGGACGCTCCGGCAGCAGAGCCAGAACAGGTCGGGGCCCTGGCTCTAATGCAGGAGCTGACTGGGGACACCAAAAACATCTCAGTAAAGCTGAGAGTAAAAGCAGCACAAACAGTTTTGTAAGCTCTCCCTCAGCATCGTCTTCAGGGTACATCACCTTTCACTCTGACTCTGTAGGCTCCACCACCTGAAGCACCTCTTGTTTTAAATAAAAAAAAACATTCTTACTGAAACTTTCATCACAAAGAAAACCTCCATCACATCAGTGGTTTAAGAAAAACAACATGCTGGAATATTTCAACCGCCTTTTTTTGTCACTATTAAGTTTTACTAGCAACCATAAAAAATCTGTCATTGCTAAATGGCCTTAGGAGCTTTGGACCTATTAAATGAACACGTTGAGGCTGGTGACATTATTAATGGCTCAAACTATCCAGTGTTCACCTCACAGATAACCCACAGAAGACAACCTTTTCTGGCACTGACACAGAGAAACTCTTTTTAAATGGTGTGAGCGTTCCTTGACTCTCTTTCTTATGAAAAAGTAAAGTATTTTGCAGATGTATTAGTGAGGAAGGGGCGGCACAGCAGAGCAATGGTCGCCTCCTGGATCTGCGTAGAGTTTGCATGTTCTCCCTGTGTGTGCCTGGGTTTTTCCTCTGGGTTCTCCAGTTCCCTCTTACAAACCAAAAACATGCACGTCAGGTTAATTGGTAACTCTAAATTGTCCCCAGGTGTGAGTGGGAGTGTGAATGGTGGTTTGGCCGTGTGGTGGATGTCCAGGCTATGCCCCGCCTCCCGCACAGTGACTGCTGGAGWTGGGCACCAACTCCACCTGTCCTGGAAAGGAGAAGCGGGTAAAACGGATGGATGGATTAGATAAAATCTTTTATTACTAATTAATATTTTGCTTTCACTTCAAACTTGAACTTAAGTTGTGTTTTATTTGACCTGTAATGATTGTGTGTTTTGTTTTGTTGTGTGCTTTGAACACATGCTTTCCTGAATATTGCACATTTTCCTCAAGCTTGGCATCTTGGACACCTTTTTTTTATGTTTGTTTGTTTTTATTTTAGATTATAAGCTACAACTTTTCTATCAATGTAGCTCAAAAACACGAAAAAATGTTTTCTAAAGCACGATATCTGGAAGTGAAATGAGTGTTAACCCTGAACTATGAAACGCCCAATAAGTCTTGTGTGACATATTGAAATATAAAGTGAAGACCCCCTTATCCTTTTTGAAAATGTGAGGTCATTTTATAAAAAAAAACAAGAGTTGTTTTGTATATAATGAAGGTTATTGGATATTGTTTTTACTATTTTATTTTCTTAAATGAAACGTTTGCTTATATCACCTCCTAAATATCTTCCTCCTGTTTTGACTTTGGTAATCATCAAATTTCATACAGCTCATAAGACCAATATGCAAATGATGCTTCATATTCATCTCCTTTTGTTTATTATGTAACTTTCACTGCATCAGAAATATTATTTGTAGCTGCCAGTTTAAAGGGAAGATTAACAAAATTTTAACTGTAGCCAATGAACTGTGAAAAATATGTAGCTTCACTGATTTTCTGTTAGACTTTAAAAAAGGAAATGAAATAAAATAAAAGCACTTTTAGAATCAATAAATTGAACTGAAATGAAAAAAATAATGCACTTAATTTATCATAAGTGTACTTGCTTGAGCAAAAAGGGAGCTCTGTTTCACATTTTCTCCAGACGTGCACAACTTTGTCATCGGACCTGTGTGGGTTTGTGAGTGTGACTTTTCCATTTTTAATCACAAATTATTAAAAATTCTAGAAACATAATGGTAAAATGAAACACCACAATTTAAAACATTTGCAGATAACATGCACATCTCACTGTAACAGAGTGTAAAAATTAACAGTTAATTTATTTGGTGATATTTCCGCCCTAAGAAAATACGTTTGGGTTGGATTTAATTCATTAAAGAACTTCTCATTTCTACTAAAGTGATCATTTGCAAACTTWAAGGAATGGAAATATCAAAAGTTGACAGAAAAAGCTAGAGCTTTTTCCTCTCATGGACATAAACTATAAGGTGAATGCATTGTACTTTTAAAATAAGTTCAAATTTGAGGATAAAATAAAAAATATCCCTAATTACTGCCTTATTTTCTTTTCCATCAAGAAACAAGTTTGCTCTGCTTTTAGCCATCTGATCCTTGTTTTATTTCAAGGTATTTGTGTACATTTTAAAGCTCTGCAATTGAATAAACTCAAATCTGCCTTTTTTTTTTAGAAAGCATCAGATCACACCAACCTGTTGAACTTTGACATATACTTTTTTCATTTTGTTGTGTTTACAATATTAAACTTTTTTTGTAACATATTCAAAAGCTGAAATATGAATGATGTTAAATGTTCTGATTTTATTGTTGAGTTGAGGACATTGTCATAAAGATTGATTAAATTCACAAGATGCTTACAAGTGTGTTTGGATTTTTTTTATTTTTGACTACTTGTCCTGGTTTCATCCACAGACCTGGATAAGTGTTGGTTTTTAATCAGATTTTAATCAAGTTACATTAAAGGAAATTTGACACAGCTTACACATGCTCATTAACTCATCTAGAGATGAGAATAACAGCCACATCTTTGAGCAACAAGAAACATCAACAATGCCTTTTATCCACTTTTGACACAAACATTTTGTTTTTTCGTTTTTGTTTTTTACAGCAGTGTTTTCAACCCTGCTCCTCAAGGCACGCTGTCCTGCATGTTTTAGATGTTTCTACGAAGCCATGTTGTTCTATGTAACCTCCTTGATGCAACAGAAGCATAGAGTTGTTTCTTGTAGGATCCAATAAATTATCAAAAAAAAAAAGCTTAACTTTAACATTGTATTCATTTTTTACACTACAGAATACATTACAATTTACACTATGAGACATGAATTTTAATTGGCTGAAGGAATTGTAAGGAATCATGCTACTTCTTATTTATAAACAACATGTAGCCTAGTTTGTTTTTACTTCAACCTATAAAACAATGAAAAAATGTATGGACCACCAACTATTCATGTCTGCATGACACACAATTTCTTTGAACTTATT